ATAGTAGTACGATGGGAAAAAACTCGATCCTAATGAATTTTCCTGCCTTAAGATATTGAGACTCGAATATTTCACCTGAAGGTGAGAGTGAGAGTCAGATGTTCCAGTCTCAATATCTCAAGGCAGGAAAATTCATTAGGATCGAGTTTTTTCCCATCGTACTACTATGGCCATGGGCTACCAGTGTGGCAAGTTTCAAGTTAAAATTCGAAAGTCGGATTTTGCTCGAAATCCAACCTCTATAGGCAAAAACTGACTAAAAATTCAATATCTCAGCAACAAAGCACCATGGAGATGGGCCAACTTAGGGTATTTCACTACTCACTGAGGTCTACAAGATACAAGTAGTCCGAGTTCAAAAGTGATTTATAACCTCAAGAGGTTCCCTCGTGAGTTGTGCATTTCTAATTTTGTATTACTTCTAAATAGTAAAACTACAAAAAAGAATTGCAAATCGGTTAATATATACGATCCGACAATTTTATTTAGATTTATCTCCTTTTGATACCCTATAACAACAAGAACGACAACAGAACATGCATTTTAATTGTTCATTCTTTTTAACTAATCAAAACTCACCATTTGTTAATATAGATAGATACCGCTTGTCAATGCGAAAGAGGTCACCTGTTATTGTAAAAATAATAATAGTATACATTATTCTTTCGTCATTCATATCACCAAATCGAAAAATTTTAAAAGCTTCTTCGATCATAGTCGATTGCACATTGGTCTCCTCCATGGACAAGGCGAATCGTTTTGCCTTTGGTTCACTTTTTCGAAAATTTTTGAGCAAGAGCATAAGAAAAATATTTTCTGAAGTATCTCGATTCAAAAGTTATCGCGTACAACCCAGGTCAAAAAATCAGATCAAGATCTTACACGATCTTATAAAATCTTACGGAAAATCATAGAAACAGATTTGTCTTATAAAATCATACATCTTACGAAATCTGATGAAATCTTACTATAAGATCTTACATCAAGAATCCGTTTCTACGTTTCTTACAGAATCTTACAAATTCTTATACGAATCTTACTAAATCAGACGGAATCGTACAAGAATCTTATAAGATCTTAAACCAAGATTCTTCGACCTGAGCAAACTTACTTTATCATAGTTTTTCTTCAAACTAACCCAGGTCGAAGAATCTTGCTGTACGATCTTATAAGATTCTTGTACGATTCCGTCTGATTTCGTAAGATTCGTATATGATTTTTATAAGATTTTATAAGATCATGTAAGATCTTGATCTGATTTTTTGATCTGGGATTCTGTGAATGGAAGAAAAATCTATTTCTGTCCCGTTGGAAGATTTAATAAATACTGAGCGGTTTCAGGAATATCGACGGTATTTTTGAGAACCGCGCTTAACCGGTGATGTTAATACGTGTTCGACATGGACCGACTCGGATTGATCGCACTCAAATCTAGGTAGAACCTGAAAACTAGATTTGAGTTCGTAAAACTTGTAGAAAGGGAGCGTCTGGAACGTCAAACTTAAAAGCGCCGTAATTTTCATTAATAAACGATTTCTGTTGTTTATCTGTCTATGCTTACAACTATCATCGTTACATTATCAAAGGAAGCTGACATCTCTTTTTTTATGGAGGTTCTGGTTGAAAATTAATGAATGACTGAATGAATGAAAATGAATAAACCTTCTGCTAAGTTATGCTAAGTCATTATTTAGTATAGAATAAAGTAGAACGCAAAGGTTTGTGCTTATTATATAGGTTTATTTTCGATTTTGTTTATTCGATGGTTATATTATGTGTCATTATTGTCCGCTGAATCCCTCTCGGTTTGCTTTCCATATAATAGAATTCCGTGATCATTATTCTTTTTTTCATACTTTGGTGAATCAAAGCAAGCTGATGCATTCTCAAAGTATTTGCAGCCTGATGGCATCGATAAGCTAGTAAGCTAAGACAGGCACTGCGGTAACGGTAGGTTTTTTCAAACTGTAGTATAAAAGCAGATCGCAAAGTATTTCGACAATAGATAATGCTTTATGGTGTTTTCAAGTCAAGTTTTTTATAGCTTAAGAAAACTTTTTTAGCTTCTCATACCTTATTTCCTTCGGTAGTTTTGGTGAGCAAACATTTGTAACCGAAGGATGTCATACAGCTCCAATTATTAGTCTGTTTTTTTGTCGATCTAATAGATAATTAACTTTTTTGTAAATATAACGAGTTTGATTAAAAAATGGTATTATTAGCAGCTTCCATATGTACTAAAGCTGGAAAACGTAAGTTTACTTTGGTTTTTCCTTTTACTGTTCAATTATTACAACTATTTTGTTTATGTTTAGCGTTGGTATCTCGTCAATTTGTTGAAATGACCCGATCCAGAATTGAAGGTTTACTAGCTTCATTTCCAAAGCTTATTGGAGGATCTGGTAAACAGCATACCTTTGTTGAAACGGATACAGTGCGATATGTTTATCAACCGTTTGATAAATTATACATGGTTTTATTAACAACAAAAGCTAGTAACATACTGGAAGATCTTGAAACGCTTCGATTATTCTCACGTGTGGTACGTTGTACACTAACGAACGGTATTAATTTTCTTAACTCTTTTCATTGGGTTTTTGTTTAGATACCCGAATATTGTAAAACTGTCGATGAAAAAGAAGTTTTTGAACATGCATTCGACTTATTAGCGGCATTTGATGAAATTGTGGCATTAGGTTATAAAGAAAGTGTCAATTTAGCACAAATACGTACCTATACAGAAATGGAATCCCACGATGAAAGAGTTCATGACGCCATGAGACAGGTAAACGTTTGTTCTAAAAAGCAAAATTCCTATGGCAGTTAGGCGTAATTTGTTTTTGAGAAAAATTAAGGAGATTTGTCAATACTATCATAAAGGGAGAATTATTTTCATAAAAGATTTTCCTATTTATCCTTCACAAATTCAGCGGAAACACAACTATCTGCAGTTGTGTTTACATTCTCTGCCAGACTGTTCCTATTCTATTATAGGTTCGAGAACGTGAAGCAAAAGATACGATGAAAAAAAAAGTAAAAGAATTAGACATACAACGTCGACAAAAAAATATAAAGCCTGGTGGAATAAGCAGCAGTGGAATGTCGTCGAATATGTACAATAACTCATCAAGTGAAGGAAAAATTGATGTTACACCGACACCGATCACATATTCCAGTACTCCATCGTAAGAAGACCATAATTCACAATTTTTATTTTGCACTATAGTAACTTTTTCATTAGATTTTGTTTGCACCGCACTTTCATTTGTAGTCTTATTTTCACTTTACAGTAAAACCGCTCTATAGGGGGCACCAATAGCTCCGAGGGGAACTGCCCACTATAAGGCGGTGGGTACATTGGGGGG